GATCTTACAATATTCAATGAATTTAAAAAAAATTTAAATTTAAAAAAACAAATTTTTTTGTTGTTAATTTTTTATTTTATTTTTCGTTGCTTTTCACTTCCATCCTTCGGAAATATATAAAAACTGCAATAATGACTCTCAGAATGCTGGTTACAATCGGGTACAAAACACGACACGCAGTTAATGTTACCAGAGCATATGATTGTGTAGAACCAGTGGGCTCGTTGTCATGCCACCGTCACGTCATCACTTCGGTACTCTATGATGGTATGGTTATTTTCAAGTTTCTTTTTTTTACTTCATTTCTTTTCATCTTTCAACTTTATTTTTACATCGACTGAGCAAGTTCAGAACTTCAGAGAGAGTTTTTAGTTACTTTGAGTATTTAAAAAAAGACTTGTACTGGAATCTCTATATGCCGGGAGCTTCTGGGTAAGGTTTTACTTTCGTTTTTCTCCTCCCCAGTCCACGGTACCCCCATGCATAGATCAATGCTGCCGCACATCCACAAAGTTACAAGTGCCTAGAATCTTTTTAAGTATATACAGTTTACATTGCTTCTAGATATCTAACTGAATAAAAATAGTTCACTTTCTACAAATCAGTGACGAATTCAGTTAACAGCTTTGGTTACGTGCGTGTCTGGGGTCACTGGTCGTGCCCTCACTCCCCACGATAATTAACCCCTGAGATATAAAAACTTATTGTTAATGCCCGAGCAAAAACTTGGTGGGCTCGGGCCTCCGGGGTCGGAACTAATTTCTAACGCTGCCGGCGGCACGGGAGCGATTTTTTCTCATATCTTCCAAAATTTTCGCTCTCGTAATTGTTGTTACCAGAGCGCTTTGACAGCTGACGGGAGCGAAATCGCTCGCCGCTCCCGTGTATTTTTTTCGCTGGAATGTACACACGCATGGGTGTAGTGGGAAGAACAATTGTGCGGTAACCAGAACAGGGGGTGAAAGTGTCATAAGCAGGTGCAGAGAATGTTTGAGAAAGTCAGGAAGTAATGTGCCAAATGTACTGCTATGATATATATCCACATCAGGTTTACATTGGGACCATGTATGTTATGTGGTTATAAATTATAGTATTGAAAGACAAAATTTGTATACTTGTAATTAAATATGTAAGTTTATCTGAAGAAAATATGTTGAAAGAGTTGATATTTATCTAGCTAGAAGTAGTGAAGAGAGGCCCATTTGATTATGTTACATGTTTGTGTTCTATTTTCCTTTTTATAGAATTGACAGTGGATATAGATCTGCAATGAGTGTGCAGTCGTCACTAGTAATGCACCCCATATATGCATATGGCACTGATGCACAAAAGGACAAGTTTTTGCCAAAGTTAGGTATGTACTACATAGGTCTACCCTCTCAACAACAAATACCGTAAAACGACAGTCACAATACCTAACGTGTGTCACATGACATGTTCGTCACACTGTTTGCGATTTTTAGCGACGGGTGAGCTGATTGGTTCGTTTGGCCTCACGGAGCCGGATCATGGCAGTGACCCAGGCGGCATGGAGACGCGAGCGAAGTACAACGCAGCAGACAAGACATATAAGCTCAACGGCACAAAGTCCTGGTGAGCGAGCATTCACTGTGACATGGCATCGCTGTTATTACTCACGTTCTTAATAATAGGAACGACAGCATAAATATTCACAGATATAACTATTACTTGCAGTAATATTGTGGCCGCTTTGGCATAGAGAATCCAGTATGATCTGGAAGTATGTGAGTTTCTTATGTTGGGTGATCGTGTCATAATTGGTAAATCTGCCATAACTTTTATTTTCATTCTCCAGGATTACGAATTCTCCCGTTGCAGATGTATTTATTGTGTGGGCAAAGTCTGACCCTGACCAGAGGATCAGAGGCTTCATATTAGAGCGAGGAATGAAAGGCTTATACACACCTGTTATCGAAGGTAAGATCTTATTATCTGCAAAATAAAAGATCAATTGCTTGGACAGACTGGCTGCCTCGAGAACTTGTCGTCACGTAAATTCATCCTATGTAAATAACCATACAGTATTTAATTAAAAGAAGCTACAATAGGTTTATTTTACGAATATTATTAGTATTAACCGTGTTGCTGTCTCGTAGGGAAGTTTTCCCTGAGAGCATCTGTGACAGGACAGATAGTCATGGATGATGTTGAGGTCCCTGAGGAAAACCTGCTTCCTGGTGCAGTAGGCCTAGCTGTAAGTGTTGTGTTGTGATGGAACTGTCAGTGTATCTATATCTGTCAGGATTTTCCCTAGAATCCCTATTCTTAGCTTCGTAATGTGTACAGTTTAAACTTTTCTAAGGATTTAGCTCCCACAAAATCAGAAATTAATTGCATATAAAAATGAGTTTATAGCTACTGAAATGACCTTCCCATGGCAAAAGAAAGTTATTGCAGGCTAGCTGACTATAATTATTTATTGTGGGTTCTGGAACAGTCACAATTTATTGTAAGAAGTAAAAAGGAAATTCAATTTTTTACAAAGGTATTTCAGGTTGACAACATGCAAGCAAACTCATAAATCTGATTTACCTCTTTAGCAATATTGGTTCATTAACTATAATGTTTACTATATGGCACTATTACAAATTCTGCTGTGTTTCAGGGTCCATTTGGTTGCTTGAATAATGCTCGATATGGCATTGCATGGGGTGTATTAGGAGCAGCCGAGTTCTGCTTGTCAACTGTCCGGCAATACACACTAGACAGGTATGGAATGCATCAGTCATTCCTCGTGTGTGGCGAGTGTTCATACACATGTAATGCATGTACGTGTATAATTCAGATATAGAATATCCCTTATCAGTCTTCTAAAGCAGAAAACTAGAAAATCTTATCAAGCTAATGTGAATTACAACAATCCTTATATTGGTAATTTCATGATTTCCTTAAATGTTGTGATACAATGGGTAACATTCTAGGATGTAGCGAAAGATGAATGTGATTGAAGTCATTCATGTGTGTGCTTCACAGTAACTCTCTCTTAGAAGTTGAAACCTTTGAAATGTTCCAGATTACAGTTTGGAAAACCATTGGCTAGCAATCAACTAATCCAGAAGAAAATGGCAGACATGATGACTGACATCTCTGTGGGTCTTCTCTCTTGCATACAGGTTGGCAGACTGAAGGACACTGGAAGGTCAGTGCAATGTTTACAGTAATATTGTTGTAGTTAAGTTACTGTTTGTTTGACGACTTATTTGAGAATTGCAACCACACTGCATGCAAGTGTGCAGACACTAAAACAAATTATTGTTACCGATATTGAATTTAAGTGGAAATGTGGATTGCAACTGCAGTATTAGATTGGTGTTAGTGCTCATACATGTCAAACTTCTACACATCATATACTTGCATGGTGAGATACATAGTATAATATTGCATGTCTAGCTGCAGAGTGAAATTGTGCAGGCTAAAATATATGTTGTATACTGGAAAGTTGAGATATGCGTATTATATATCATACAGTAAAATACAAGTTGTATGCTTGCAGGCTGAGATGTGCATATTATCGTACAATAAATGCACTCTGGTCTGTGTGTACACTTGCAGGGCAGCCCCAGAGATGATATCTCTCATCAAGAGAAACTCGTGCGGGAAAGCGCTGGACATCGCCCGCGTGGCCCGTGACATGATGGGCGCAAACGGCATCGTTGACGAGTATCACGTAATCCGACACATGCTCAATCTAGAGTCGGTTAACACGTACGAAGGTAAGTCCACCGTATCGGTCATAGTCTGGCGTGGTACATTTCTAGCCAGGAGACTTGCTCTCAGTGTCGACATTAATACAAAGTTTAATGCAAACGGCATCTTCGAGCTATCTATGCGACTCTGGCACTTGCACTTATAAAATGTAGTTTGTATTACTGCAGAGCATGGAGGTATGCAATGTGAAGTGTTGTTGTAGCTGGTATATGCGGACATGATAATAACTAGGAACTTGTGTTGCAGGTACGCATGATGTTCATGCTCTCATCCTAGGACGAGCCATCACGGATATCCAGAGCTTCAAGTAACAATGTCACGTCGGAATTTTGAAGTCGATGCAATAGTGTGATTTCGGCGGCAGGGATGGAAGCCAGTTCCACGTCTGCGTTATGGTTGCTATGGATAACATAATCCATGGATTGCTGGCGTGGAATTTTATACTGTAGTTATTGAATATTGTCACTGAGGTTTTCAACCAGGTAATCGTGCTGCTATCCATTTTCACACTGGCACTTACTACCAATTAGCAGCCTACAGATGAGCCTTAAATTCTGGTTATGATGAGGTGATTTATTATCTTTTATGCACAATCATTTATACAATCATAAAAAGTCGAGTGTGCATGTCACTCACTGTACACTTCATTGCAAAAGAATGGCATGTTTTTGTAGAGTACCAATTAAAGGTAGGCCCTGATCATAAAAATGTCAAATGGAACAGCAAAACTTTTTTTCGCAGCACTTTAGCTGAATAGTAAAAGTCATGTGGTGCAACCTAACACAATAAAAAACCAATAGTCTTAGGAAAGTAACAATTAAAAGTACGTAAGAATTTAGGTAGGCTCCAAGCGTAAAGTAGCCACGCTTAGAAATGAAGCAAAGAATTTGATCAATAACAGTAGTTTTCAATAATGATAAAATCATGTTGTATTGGCAACTTCAGGAGTACGTGATATCAGATTGTGATTAAATATATAGTTGATATCATTTACTCTTTCATGTATCATCAGGTAACATCATGGTCAGGAGAATGATACTCGGTCTCAAAACAGCTAATTTTGGTTCTCATTGAAATTAACTGAGGCTAACCGTGCGACATTGCATCCAAGTGATTGTATGTGTGTACAGTGGCGTAGTTAGGGGGGGGGGGAAGGGGGGCATGCCCCCTGTTGATTCAAAAGTTGAAAAAAGAAAGAAAAAAAGAATTGTACTAAAAAGAGAATTGTCGTAGTCAGAATGAAGGCTGTACATGTACTCAAAAGTCCATCAAATACCATCTCCTGCAATCTACATTTTCAAAATTAGGGATAATGAGGACCCCCCCCCCCCCCCCTGTATTTCACCCCCCCCCCCCCCCCCCCCGCTCATTGGAATCCTGGATCCGCCACTGAACAGTTACATAACTTGCAAGCAAAGAACAACGAACACAAATGTCGCATTTTTGCAGAGCTGAGAGGTGGTGGAGCTTAGGGTGTGGAGAGGGAGGTAGAGGAACCATTAAATTATTAGGTCATCAACCATTTTACGTAGTTTGCTGTTTTTGGCCTCCCCCCCCCCGTTAAAAAATCCTGGCTACGCCACTGTGTGTAGTTTTTTGTTGTTGATTGCTGCCTTGTACAGCACAACGGATGTGTAAATAAAGCACTCTTTAACACGATCAGAGCGTTTTTATATATTCATATCACAAATTTCATTGGGTAAAAATAACGGTTTCTATTTTTGGTGATGTTTTGCAACGAGTGACTTTTATTACTTTCTAATTCTGGCTTCAGATGCTTCTAATGTATCGAAACAGCACTCACTAAATGAATTCGGTAGTTATGTGAATTACCAGCGAATACTAATGGGAACTTAAAGAAAAAAATAACACACCAGGTAGCTGTATAATACCTTGCATTTATTTACCAATTATAGATTCCTCAGAAATAGGAACATGTTATGGCAGTTCACGTATTATCGATGCACACTTACGTGAATAATGAATGCAATATTCTTGTAACAATAATAATAAAAATCCGCCAGAAAGCAGGCAACATCACACCACTGTGTCCAGCAAAACGACAAAAAAAAAAAAAGTGCAACGTTGTGGAACTGAACCTTTCCATCGTTCAGTTAAAAGATTCTGTGAATGCGTGATTGGTTATGAGCTGCAGTACACTGGAAATTTCCCCTGATCAATACTGGCAATGTCTCCTCTGTAGCCACTAGTTTCTGAGATTGTTTTACAATGCTAGCTGTCATCTGCTACTGTTCCGGGGCCTTGCAGCATTGACAGCTCTCTCTTGGCTCTGCCACCCACCAGCCTTGCAACACTGTCAGTTGGTGTTTAGCTCAGTCACCAGTCTTGCAGCACTGCTAGCTGTCCTGTAGCACAGCACCAGCCTTTCAGCACTGCTAGCGGTCCTGTAGCACAGCCACCAGACTCGCAGCACTGCCAGCTCTGGTTTTTTTATGGGTGCCAGCACGACCTCCCTGATGCCATCAGTAGTCGAACGTGTGACCGCTCGATCACTGGCCGACGTTGCCGAGCCGCTCGATCACCGGCCGACCTTGCCGAGCCGCTCGATCACCGGCCGACCTTGCCGAGCCGCTCGATCACCG